TTTCTTGCTCGGTACAAGAAGAGTAAACTTGTTTCGTTTGGTATATAATTATGCCGTTTCGCCATTTGTTCCATCGCGAACAAATCCTTTGACGACGATCATCAATCTTTTCTTTCGATTCCTTTAGAAATGGCTCCCTGCGAGCTCTCCTGCTCCTACAGGGTGTCCCAAAAATGTTGTAACACCTTGAAAGAGGTGGTTCGGGAGGTGATTTGAAACAACTTTTTCCTTGGCGAAAATGTTGTACGAGGCTTCGTTGAGGAGATATCAATGGAAAACACTGACCAATCAGAGCGCGAGGATGCCGATGCAGCGCTCGCGGTAGCCAATGAGCGCGGCCGCCTAGCGCGTAGCTACCGCGGCCGCTCCAACGGTCTACGCGCGCTCTGATTGGTCGGGGTTTTCTCTTAATATCTCCTTAACGAAGCCTCATCCGACATTTTTGCAAAGGAAATTCTTGCTCAGAATCGTCTCAGCTACCCCCCATTTCCGGCTCCTCCCCGACTTTTGGGACACCCTGTATATCCATTTTCCTTCCCTCCCCCCCTTTCAGGCTACTCGAATAATTCACTAGGCAACTCGGGACCACTTGATCCATCCGGTCTACATTCTTCATTTTTTCCTTATATTTCGTTACGTATTATCGAGTACGAGAGATTACCAAACTAAGAGTACCAATTATAAACGTGATATCTTTACGTTCGAAATAAAAAGGCGTGGTTTAAGTGGTGCACGTGGATATTTTTTTTTTTTTTTTTATAGCTAATCGGTTCAGCGCGTGAGATCCCAAGTTTTGCGCGACAGGGAATAACGTGAAAAGTCTTTCGGGCTTGGAGAAAAAGATAATAACGAGGCCAGAGAAGTAAGTGGCATGTACGTTAAAGTCGTTTAAAGTAAAACTGCTACTTGGAAACTTTTTATCTTTGATTAAACGATTAAACCATGAAGGAGCCAAAGTTAATTGACCATAGTTGGAAAGCAGTTCGCATTAAAACCGACATTCGTTGTTCGTCAAGGGAATACTTGTTTTACGTAATTATACAGGCTGGCAAACTTGTACCGGGCGCACCGACGCACGCGTTTAATTAGACGCACGTCGAGTAATTAGAGGAATCGGGCCAGATACTGGGTGGACGAACGATCCACTAGCTTTGTTTCGTTCATTTCGATCGTTTTATCGGTGAACGGCAATGGTGAAATTGTAATGTCGCACCAAGAAGAGCAAACCAAGGGTAAAAGCTGATTACACGAATCGAAAGAGAATAGATCGCGACAAGTGTGGATGAAAAAATGTTCGTGTCGAAGGCGTCAACATCGATATTAAGAGGTTCGTAAGTTTCTACACAATTAACCCGATATCCCAGTCGAGCGTTTCAAATCCAAGATGGTGGAAAAAATGGAGTCACTTTAGAAAGAGGATTCCAGTTGGAGCGAGTTAGCCGGTCCCATTACAGCCGAAGCACAGTGTCTCGCGGCGTTCAAAAAGTAGCCTGCTTCCAAAAGTCCATTTCCAGAGACCTGACCTCGGCTAACCCTCGAGCACTTACAGTTCTGCCAGTTGAAATAGCTCCGGGGTTGATAGAGGAAAAGGAGAAAGACCTTGCCCGCTCGATGAATCATCTGGCTAGAGAGATTGCGGTAGGAACGTAGCACTCTTTGTTAGAGCACCGGTACTTTGAGTCCGTTTGGTATGCGTTTGCTGACACGGCCTCGGCTATCCTACGGTATTCCTTGCATAATTATTAGCCTTCTTATCTGCTCCTGACCATAATACGGAATCGCTGGCGTCACGTACGCTGCGATTTTTCCGTCACGTAGCGCTCAGACTTTCTCGCAGGAAATCAATTCCAACCAGTCGAGTACCATCCGCGATCATGCAGAAGAATTCGCCGAGAGAAGATATGGAAATGGTACTCGAGTCGTCAATTCGAAGCTCGGTAGCGGAAGTAATAAATTTGAAAAGTCCTCGTCCGCCGTGGTACTCGCGAGGCTTCCATAACAATGCACGTAGTAAATATTTCGACGTTAAAAGTAAGACGAGCCGACACGGCAATCTTGCTCCTCTCGGGGCAGCAGCTTCGCATTTTTAATTACTTGGAAAGTCGAAGGAGTTGTGGCTGGCTAGATTGCGCATACCACAGCCGTGCCAACCGACAAGTTCGCTGGGAAAGCAACGTAACAAGATCTCATTGTTACTAATTCGAATTACCGCGGCCAGCGAGCAACTTTGTCCAAGTATCCCCGACAACCGGCAAACTTGGCCACAGAAAGATTCGGTATCTGTTCAAAAATGCCGGAACGACGCGACGCGACGCGACGTTCTTGATGCCGCGTCGCTAACAGAAACATCGTTCTCGACCGTGACGAGAACGAAGCTTCGTACTTGGTCTTGGTAGCCCGTGTCGCGTCGCGTTGTTTTCCACTGTCGCGAACGACAATGACCACTCGAATACTAACAAAGTTTCGTCGTCTCTCGAGGAGAGAGAGAGACACGCGGCCGGTTATGCTCCAGAAAATAATTACCGTCACTTGCCTCGACAAAGCTGCTCTTGTAAATCAGGATTTAAGTCGTTTACGCGCGGATGTGCCGCGAGTACCTCTACTTTGGACGGGATACCGGGACGCCATTAAAACTTTGCCTTTTTATTTCGAGGAGGGAAAATATCTTGCTCGGGTGCAAACAATAATAACCGATATCCGTTCCTTCGCCTTGTACAGGCTCCAATCGATTAGGTTTATCATTTTTTCTAGCAATTCTCACTCACTTTTTAAGGAAATGCAAAGATAAAATAGGAACGATGACGTACAACACGATACAAGGAATATAATAAAGAAAGAAAAGCAATCGAGAGTGACACCCTGCCACCGATTCCCTTCCCTTCGCGTTTCCAGCTTTCTCAGCCCTTTTCGGAACCACCATAGCAGATTCCCCTAAACAACGGTATAACAGGTCGACGAGATTAATAGCGATCAACGTGTTTCATGAAAGAGTAAAAATTACTGTCAGAGATTCTTTGTTCTCTACCCCTCTCCATTTCCCTCTTTGCGCCGTTTCTCTATCCCGCTCTGGCACACACACGTAGGCAATACCCGCTTCTCTCTCTGGCTAACGGCACGAAAAGCGGATTTCGCTGCTAAGCAGATGGAAATTCAGGCGATGCGAGCGCGGTAATGCACCTCTCTGCATCGTATATCGGCAAAAGCGAGAGAGGATGTGTGAGAAGATGGAAGAGGAAATCGGAAGCGCGGAGGAAAAAAAAAAAGAAGAGAGCTGAGGGTAGACGAGGAAGCAGAAGGGTAGCAGAAATGAAAGTATCGGGGGGAGGGGGAGAGAGAGAGAGAGAGAGAGAGAGGCCGCTGGTCTGAGAGGAGAGAAGGGTGTTGGAAAGAAAAAGAAACAAATAAAGCATATGGAATAGAAATGAATGGGAACAGAATGATGGTGGAGAAAGCGTGCACTGCGTAAGCAAAGTGAGCCGGGATTGGCTCGAATCAGAAGAAAATGTTCGACCGATTGCTTCGCCAATCATCTATACTCTTTTTTTTTCATTTGTCTTTCTTTTTTATAATTCTGGTGAAAATCGATGGAACGATTTGAAATTTCGCAAAATTCTCACTTGTGATAATCGAAGAAGGTCGTAGATGTTTCAGATTTCAAATTTTGCTATTTCAATTATTGCTTAAGCGTTATTTGCGATTGTCGAAGCGATAATCGATTATGCAATACGAATGGAACGAACAACTTTTCCAACGTCGTGTTCGCTTGGTTTGCGTTATTTACGGGAATTCTCGCTGTTACGTCCCAGCTGGCGTTCGTAACGTTGTTATTAACGATTCAAATTAATTATTAGAGAGTGAGGATAAACGAAAAGAGTTTATTTAATCGATATCGATCGATACCAACCACTGACGCTGTTTCGAATCCATTAAAATCCACGCTACAATGATTTCTATCGAAAGTTTAACAAATATTCAGTACCGAAATCTTCTATTGCTCTAACGTGTTATTTTAAATGAGATTTAATGAAAAAAGAAAGAATATACAGAAACGAGATATAACAAAAATCGAATTACGATGAAATACAAAGAATACACAGGAACGAAATGGAAGAAAAATATGTATCATTTGAAAGAATAGGATGGAAATAGTGGCCAGATTCGAAATGAACAAATATAAGAAACTCGATCTAGTAAGAAAACGTTCCAAGGATTATTAAATTATTTAACAGATTGCGAGCACGTCTCGTCAGAAATTACCTTACGTCTCGAATCGTGGATTCTCCATTGCTGCGTTTCTCTTTGTGACGATAGAACCAGCCGAGCAATTATCAAACCCGCGGCAATAAAATCGGAGAGTCCTGGTACAAAGCGATAAACAAATTCAATTCGCCGAGAATTAAAGTAACGAGCGGCCCTCTAATTAGCAACGTTATCGCGATTACATTAATGCATCATGAACGTGACAAATAACGAACATAGTCGTTCGTTTTCCGCTTTACAATGCATCGTTTTGATTACAACACTAATTCTCGAGAAACTCCCCAGCGGCCCACTGAATCAACAGCCATTCTAACGGAGGGAATTTCTATACCGAATACTGGTATTTGCGAGCGGTGCAATTATTTCGGGGACCTTCCACAAAATTGTGCATACAAATCAATCGTTGGTTAATTTATGCCTACCGGTAGAGTGCGTGGGATTGTTTATCGGTGAGATACGGTTCCACAATTCCCTCGTCAATTTCGTTGTAACGAACTGTTAGGCGTACGTCTATACTTTGGTGCACATGGACGAGGAAAGGTGTACGTGGACAGACCGATTCTGGTGTCTAATTAATATTAGTATGAAATACTACTAGCTACCCAACGATTTACACGTTGTTATTTTCATCGATGTGCTCGGTATTTTTCAGCTTCAAACGAAGCTCCGACGATCTACCGAATATTTAAATAAATATTACGCTTGGTAAATAATAGAATAACTGTTAAAATAGGGCATACCTGAGATCCTTTCCTGCAATTACGCGATTCCCAGCACTTGCCTCGCCTTTGCCAAGTGAGCCATCCTCGATCCTCTGAAAAATACATAACGACTGCGTACAATAATTACCAAAGTTTTTATCGTTGAACATTTGTTTCGTTTCTTTTACAGAAACATAAATATTTTCATGCTCTCTGGATGATACATATTCATCGACTATAACTTGACATTTTTCAAACATTTATTTTCACCAAAATAAAATGCCCAAACTATCTCGATTACTTTGAGCTTCGATCTTGCAATCGAGCCTGTGTTTGACAATGAAAATTGGATAAAATGTATCCGGTAGGAACGATCGTTTAACGTCTCTGCGTCGACAGGACATCCTCCCACCCCCAAAAAAGCTCAAAGCAGGAGAACCAGGATTTTGCGCGTGTGGATGGGGATATTATTTAATTACAGCGCGGCGCGAACACTTTCCCGGCGTTGCGGTTTCACAACAAGAATTTTCATTTCTCGTTTGTTAGGATCTGAACAGATGGTGAAATATTAAAGAGAATACGCGACCCAGAACCCACAACACGCAATAACACCTAACTATTTCTTCACGGAAATCTAATTTCTCTAACAATTATTATTTAAACAATAAGACTTCTTGTAGTAATCGCAGCGTTAAAGGGTAACAAGATAAATACTCTTGTAACGCGTAATCGAGAATCAACGACGACAAGGCTATCTAAGACGAGTACATACGAGATATATTTATAGAATAATACCTGGAAAATTGTACATGTTTGTTGATAATAGCAAACGCTGAATATCTTCGAGGTATTCAACGCTAACTGATACACCCAAAATACAATATTTTTAGATGGAAAACTAAGGAAATGTTTACCGCGGAAAGAAGTTGGCGAGCTCAAGGAAGAGAGGAGGAACGCGCAAGAAAAAGTAGAAAACCGTCCCAAGGGTGGGGTGGTCGGGGTTATTAAAACGTTTTGAAAATCTCTGGCTAGGATTGAAACAATGCCGGTGCTAGCTGCCGATTGTCACAGGGCTTGCGTAGCTCGTCCCTGGCTCGGATCTCGTTCGCTGGGATTTTGAATCACTCCGCTGTCACGGATCCTGAATGGCAGACGTAGAGGCGACGCCGACGACTCGATGCTACAGGAAGCTCATTAGGCACCGCCCCGGGCATTCTCTGGCCCTTGCCTCCTAGACTTTGTCAATTTTTCTCGCCACCCAGCCACCCCGTGTACATACGCAAAGACCAACTGCGCTATGGCTTCCAAGAATTAAGGGAGCCACGGATTCCACCTTCTAATTAACGCTCGCCAGACCATGGGGAACCCCAGCAGCTTTAATTGTCGAGTTTTGGATCTATCGTCGTTTTTCCAGAGAACAATTTCTTTCGAGACATCGAGCGTCGAATCAATATTCATCCGGTGCGAAATACCAAGATACGAAGCAGCTAAATATTTATACGCCGGTTCCATCTTCTCTTGTCCGAATCGAAACTAAAGTTGTAATCACTCAAATCACGTATACATTCTTTTGGGACATTCGGTGATTAATTTTGTACGCAATCAAATTTACGTAGACATTTAATCAATCGTTTCCCGTGTCAAAGGAAACGAGGAATCTCACGGAAACAAAAGCGTAGCACCGACATCAAATTTTCTACCAGAATTTGAAACATCTTAAAGGCTGTTATTTATAAAAAGAAACAAAAGATACAAAACAAAACTCGCAATTCTGTTGTACGTATCGTTCTGTAATTTGTGCAAGCGAGAAGAGAACTGCGCGTTTAATTGTAGACAAATATTTCTGACGTAATTATTATGTGTAATAATGGCAATGAAACGGCAAGGGTTAAGTAAGGGGTCGGGTTTTCGTAAAGCTGGAATAGAAATGGAGTGAAATTCATAGGAATCGAGGCAGACGTGCCGAAGGAGGCGCGGTTTTCATCGTTCGTCATCCTGGAAACGAGTTTTCCGGAGCGACGCGGTTGCGACCGAGTTCCCAGTCAGGAATTACTATCGCGAGTCTCATAGCAGGATGTTCGTTAGCAGGATTTCTTTTCCCCGCTCTCGGTGGCCAGCTGGCCACTCGAGTCGAGCGCATTCTTCTTATTCATCCGCTTTCCAAGTCATTGTCGGAGTCCTGTTCGTCAAGCGCGATTCATCATTCGTTTCAGAATTGATGGAGGAACGCAAGGTTGCGTTTCAATGGGAGATATCACATCCAATTTCTCCTTTTCCTTTATTCTTACGCGGTGCACAGGCCTGTACAACTGTACACAGGGGGATGTTTATGTAAATTCATATTTTCACGGAGCCTCTCGCGCGGCAAATACTAAATTATCATGCGCAACGTATCGATCGATTATACATGGTTAGGAGTTTAGGTCGAGCGCATGGCACCACCATAAATTTGTATCGCATAACGTATCGATTCGTCCGAGGAAATCGACAGCTGGATAAATAGCAGCGGTTAAGTAAACGGGGAATTTTTCCGATTAGGTTTGCAGTGGTTGGTGCGCGTGTGTTTGTCGCGTAAAACGCGAGCTCGGCTTCCTTCGATATCATCAAGGAGCAAACTGAGAAAATGCCGAGCACATACACGTCGATACCTCTCACACACCCCTGTTTCCCGTGGCCCGTGCACGTTTATATCGAACTAACGTAAAGCAACGTTCTACAGATGCTTGGATCGAGGGAAACAGGAAACGTTCGCTTGTCAGAAGCAGGTATCGACGTCGAGCAGCACGAGTTGAGTAACCGTACACCCCTACGAGCAATTGAGTGAAAATATTTGTGTTTTTCTTTGGTTCCATAAAATTTATCAAACTGCTTGCATTCCTCGGTCGATCGTGGTCGCCGGATCGCTTATAGTCGACTGGAGAACGAACCTATACACCGATCGTTCCGTTCACGGTTCAGAGAATCGATCCAGCCTAGACAAGTTAATATCTCGTGTAACTGACAGCCACGATAAATTTCGTTTGGTGTCGTTTAACCGGTTCTCCGTTTATCCTCCGTTTTCCTCCTTCGTATGGCTCGCTATCGAAATGATACCTGAACATTGTGTACACGCAACGAGTTGGTAATTGCTCCAGACATCGGTGATGCAACTAGTTTTTCCAGGTTACTATTTGACGCTGACAATCGTGGCAAATTTTCATTTCTTATTTATTTCATTCCTCGCTCAGAGATGATCTTTCTCACCCATTCTTCCAATTTCCCTGGGTTTTTTAAATTTGTTTTTTTCTTTGTCGCTTCAACCGACCGACTTAATTCTATAAATGTTTATTTTTCACTTGCGAATTCTCAATGGTGTCACGAATAAAGATCCTGCACGATCCAGCTGAACGCGTCCCTTTCCTTCGGGTGAATCCATCGGCCGGAATTTTTTCCCTTTCTCTTATCGTCGGAATCGTTGATCCAACGTTAAAAATTGACAGGGACGAAGATATTCGTGGTAAAATTCTGCATAAAAAAAGTCGTATCAGCGATTTAGCTAATCCCCACTCAACCGTCGCGAACGACGTTCAAAGTTCGGAACAGTTGGACGAACAAAGGCATAGAAGAAATGTAATCCAACGAGGTTTTCAGCGTACCTGAAAGCTTTACGTGTGAAAAACGATCGAAACTAAAGCATTTTTGGTAAATGGGAATATTATTACACGCTCTACCCTGAAAATTATTCCTACTCGTTTCCTCTAAATGTTATTACATTCACTTGCAAACGTGCATTTTCTAATCGAATGTTAAAAGGATGTCACGCATCAGGTGGTACGGCATTCGAGTGCATTCAAACATATTTTACTGGGCTGATTCTGGCCAGTTGATTCGCAGCGTCCAATGGTATTTCACTCGGTAACTCGAGGATCGGAAATTACTCGATTCGGAAGTTTATCAAGCGGCTCCAGATCTCGACAACGGTGATCCCGCGCCAGTTTTTGTCCGACGCGACGATACCGTGACGGTGTTTGGAAACGATAGAGCAACAAAGTTCCCACGCGTTGCACCGCGTCCACGCCGGTTACCGGAATCGAGTTGGTCGTCCATTTCGCGAGACGCGCACACAGCCGATTAAATGATAAAACGCGTTTATCTACAACAACGATTTCAAGCGTTAGGCAATGCAGTTTCCCTCGCCAGCCTCGCCACATCGGCGACTTCTTATCACACCGCTGCGTTCAATGCATAAAGCGTAAAGTTCGTATCTCATGCATACATTCATAGAGCTAGTGGAAAAGCGGCGGGAGTACCGAGACGAAAGTCATAAGTTACGGTGCTCCGTTGGTCGGTCGGTCGGTCCTCCTCTAGCCGTTTTCACCCTCTCTTTTTCGCTGGCATAGTATCGAAATAACCCGAAAGAAACGACAGGGAACGGTGACTCGAGGCGCGTATGACGAGCCGTGGATTTTCGATACACCGTTCAAAATTCCATTTCCCCGCGGGAATTCATTCGCTAGCCGAGGCTTCGTTGAAAAATTGCCCGCTCGCGTCGGCTCTTTTTATCGTACAATCAATCGGCCCTTTCTCAATCCTTCCTTATCTTCTTTCTCTTCTCCGCTCCTTTTCTTTACTTGTTTCCTTCATTTTTTTTCTCTTCCTTTTTTCTCTTCTTTTCCTCGGTTTCTTCTCATCGGCGTTGTTCTCTGCTACAGCAAACCGCCCGAAACGATCCGCCAACGCCGACCAATGTTGCGTTTCCGTCTATGTAACGCGTTCATTTTAATTAGCAGCTCTTATTGCCGCGCACTCTTTGATACCTCCGCCATCTAACAAGAACAACGAACCGGTTATTGTTTAAACCACGACTTATTGTTTAGAACATAAAATTCTGACTTGTTGCTTTCAGATTGCCACGGCTGGTATCGCGACGCAGTAATCGCAAAAGTGGTTAATTCTCATGGCAGCGCGGAAACTCGCAGCCCTCCTCGCCGCGGTTCTACAACTTTGTTTATGTAAGTGAGTTTGAACGATTATCACGAAAAGCGAAATTTATCGTAACAACTCGTTCCTACCAACCGCACGTGTCGAAGAAAAATCGAAGAAAGATTTACATAGCCTTTCATTTTATCGATACTTTCAACTATTTCAATCTTTACTCGCGCACACACTTTTCACCGAGAACACGGCGATTCTGTGATTTGGAAATCAGGGAAATCTCCGTGATTCAAGCGAAGAAGGTGTCGCAGGTGAAAAACTGGGGAACGATGGCAGACAAGAAGCGAGAACGTTCGAAAGAGGAAAATTGGAATTTCGTGTTCGCGTTTGCATCCACTTCCGTTGGGCTGACTTTCATGAGAAAATCACAAATGCACCGCGCATCTCGAATCCCTACGCGTGCCGCGATGAAAGTTTCGCTTTATTTCTGTTAGTTTTACAGGTGGTTTGGACGAATGCAACAGTACCGTTTGGTAATGAAAGAAGAACGTGAAACAACAACGGGGACACTTTTCGTCAAACTATTTATGACAAATTGGTTGAAAAGTGTCGCGATTTGGTTGAAAATTGGTTGCGATTTTGAAAATTCGTGGTGCACGGCTGTGCGAGCAATTTAACTGTGCATTGCGCGCTTATCCGTCCATATCTCAGTAATATACGCTATTTATCGTCGACGAAAACAATCGAAATTGCAATACCTAAAACAATTAAAAGCGACCACAATGATTGAATGTAAATGATCCAAATGAAAATGAACCAGTTAGTAAAATAATAGTAGGTGTACTTATATTTATACAATTTTATTCTGTGTCCGGTTATTAACCGACCATTTCTACTGTGTCTGGGCATTGACCCACTATTTCTACTCCGTCAAGTTCGGAGGTCCGTAGCTCGAAAAGGAGCGCGTGTCGAGAGACAACAAGAAACAAGTCCGCTAATCTCTAATTAGACACGACGTAATTACCTTGATTCCCGTTGCAGCCCTCCTCTCCGATCGATTGCCACTCCCCCAGCATAGAAAGTGGTCGAGATCGGCAGAGAACCTCGTTGCACACCTCGATGCTTTCTTCGCGGGGAATTCACCGTCTCGTGGAATGAGTGGTAATCAGTCGGAGCAATGTTACGTAAACTGATTGATTTTCGTCTATCCTCCTCCTCCTCATCCTCCTCCTCCTCCTCCTCCTCCTCCTGTTCCTCGCAGATTCGTTGATTTCTCGGAAAGCACCCTGGACGTTGGGAGGCTGGGTGAAAAAAGAATTCGCTTTTCAATGAGTCGTTGTTACACACGGTCGAGTTATTGACAATAACGATTAGCGATGATGGATCGACCATGCAGAAATAGCTTTCGATAGAATGGGCCCGTCACTCATCCGCCAAACGCGCGGCAGGAGGACATTCTTTTAACGAACCTGAACTCTTTCGAACCGGACCGTCCTCGTTCGGTCGGACATTTAGAATGGAAATTCAAGGAACACAGTGCACCAATAAAATTGGAAATTCAAGGAACACAGTGCACCAATAAAATTGGAAATTAAATGTGATAAATGTGTACAAGGGGGTACTGGGGAATCAGGGTCCCCTGTATCGGTTGGTGGGTTCGCCACTGAGCCACGCCAAATATCAATGATGATACTAATACTGGCCATCAAACAGCTAAACGCTCGCGCTCCCTCGGATACGAATATTGATATTATTATCAATTATTCTCGTCGACTGTTTCCTCCAGTGTGCAACGAGATGCTCGGAAATTTGTAGCAGCAGCCACAGAGAAAAGTGAGGAAAAATGGGCCATAAAGCCGAGTCGCCTAGCTACTAAAAGAGCTAAACCAAGGAACCGAGGTGATTATTTCTCGGCTGATTTGATTAATGTCAAAGGTCGAACGAGAATCGTATTAGAAGCATTAATTCTGTTGACGCGTTGATGAGATCCGAGACGAAAGTAAGAGCACCAGAGGAAAGGTATCCTCGGCCAAGAGAATCTTGGCCGAGTATATCCTCGTTGCGGTAGAATGGCGCCGCAACTACCGTACAAGGGCAATACATCGTCGTAGTCTCGGGTGTAGGGGAGTTTGTAGAATCCACTTAAATCCGACGTGATTTAGTTGGCCACGCGGCCCCTGAACTGAATACCGTAGCCCTCCCAGTAACTAACAGAACCTCAGGCTTTTTAGACTGATAGGAACGGTTAAAAAGCTATTCGCCACGCGCCGAGCCACCGCTACTTAGTTATGCCACTACGTGGATAAATGTACTCTGCTACGACGCTCAGCCCTGCGCGCCGCGTTTTCGTCGCCGCGGCCGTAAACTTACACGTACGAGTATATACCGCGCTGGATCGCAAGAAACTGGATTTAACGATTTACCCAAGCATGCTTTTAACGCAATATAATTACCAGGCGAAAAGTGAAGACCCCAAAGGTGCTGTTGAACGCGTCAACTTTCACGGAAAATTCTTTTCCCAGCGGCAACTCGATCAGAACGGCAAATCTCGTTTTACACGGTTTTCTTCAAACTCCACCATCCAAACGATACGCAGTATACGCAAAAAGAATAATCATCCCATAGATAAAAATCCTACCGATATTCTACATACGATCTAACGATTCCATTTCTTTGCTTGTTCCCATTTTCATTAGAATTCAAATTGTTTGGCGAAAGAGCATCCTAGCAATGGCATCCCGAGGGTCATGAGATGTCGCCATGCGAATAAGAGCATACCGATGACAAAATTCAGCCATGAAAACGTGATTTCGAAGCCTGGATTACGACTACACGACTCGAGAATTTTCCATTTATCGTCTTTCTTGCATGAACGCGTACAAGAATTCGATACGAGAATATGGGTGAATCGGCACCGCCTCTCCTCTCCTCTCCTCTCCTCTCCTCTCCTCTTCTTCTTTTGCATTTTTACCTCTGTCTCTTCCATAGTGAATCGATGGAAGGCAGGCTGGAATTCAGCTCCATAGAAAACTTGAATATCTAATCGACAGCGCTGCTTATTCGTGCATATGGGGGCAGGAACTCTGCGTGAAATATTACAGTTACTTTCAAATATACACTAATCGCAGAAAAAGCCAGTTGAAATGTAAAGATTTTAGGTGTCAAGCTTCTTTAATTACTAACATTTTCTAACGAATTCTCTTTCAGGTCAAATAACTCCGGAGATACTTCCAGAGTTCCTAGCCCCCTTGGAGAATCACACTGTGGTCCAGGGCCGCGACGTTTTCTTTACCTGCGTCGTCAATCACTTGCAACAATACAAGGTAAACTCAAACATATTTATCCTTTATCGTAGGTAAATTCTTCTGAAAAATAACCAGAACTGGTATTAATATTTAGGAATTACTAGAAACAAGTTCCTTCTCATTTGAACATTTTCTACACTTGGGAATCTTGGCGAGTACTTGGAATAGAAACATTTGAAACTCTGTTCGCAGGTGGCCTGGATAAAGTCAGATTCCAGAGCAATCTTGGCGATACACACACATTTAGTGGCACACAATCCAAGACTTTCAGTTACTCATAATGGACACAACACGTGGAAGTTGCACGTGTCCAATGTTCAAAAGAACGATTCAGGGGCATACATGTGCCAAGTGAATACGGACCCTATGCGGAGTCAGGTGAGGATTAGTTTATCTGGCAGCGAAAGCAACATCCGATATATGATACTTGATAAGAATAGAGCAGCTGACCTAATCTTAAAGCTAATACTATAATGGATTACCAAACAATCTAATATACCCCGACTTGTACGTATATTCTTTATGGAAAATCTGATTGATAGATTGAAAAGAATTTGTTTCCGTTTGCTTCTCACGGTAATATTAATGTCGTTGTTGTTTCAATGGAAATGGATATCTTTATTTTGCTAAAATAAAGTCAAATTACATCAACAAACTCACCTATCTCTGCATAAAGATTCCATGGTCGCAGAAGGAGGCCACTGGCACCCAGTTTCTCTCGTTATATTTTCAGAAAGGCTACATGGAAGTGGAGATACCCCCAGATATAATGGATGATGAGTCTGCAATGGTGACCCACGAAGGCGGAAATATAAGACTGAGATGCGTTGCAACAGGCTCACCCAAGCCCACTGTCACTTGGAAACGAGAAGATGGGAAGAATATTATTTTTAGACAAGATGGACAGAAACAATGTAAGCTTTCTTAACTCGTACTCAAAATTATAATACCTATTCAGTTACGAGAGAACGTGTCAACCTTTATAAAGCGTTCTTGTTCAAATATTTTACGATTAAATCGCGAATTAACTCGTCAATTATATCGTATCTTTAAGGATAGACTTGATACGTAACGTTAGATTTGAGAAAAACAAGTAGAAAGATTCGTTGCACGCAATCACACACGCTAATTTGTTTAAACAAACTTGGGGGCGCTACTCAGAAAAGGCGGGAAACAGAAGGCGGGAAACGGAAGGCGGGAAACAGAAGGCGGGAAACAGAAGGCGGAAAAACTGAGCTCAAAATTCGAAATTTAATAGCGCCATCGGTGCCGAAATTCCCAAGCTTGTAGTGAAAATAATTCCCATTCTAGCCGCTAGATGGCGCCATTGAGTAAAGGGTCGGTATTTATTGTTAAATTAAATAAATACTCATCAAAATGATAGATTAACTGATACACCATTGTAGCGTTGTAAAGCAAAGAATCGTAATAATTAGGCATTTATGTGTAAAAACAAATTATTTAGTAAAAGGTGGTGGTAGCGTCATCTAGCGGCAATAGTTGCAACAGACAACGACATTTCGCCTCCGATGGCACCACTGTTTAATGTTCTATACTTTTTCTTATATTAAATAACTATCCGTACAAATGATACATTTGATATGTAAACTTAAATATTGAATCGTATTAATTAGGCATTTATGACAAATAAAAAATAATTTTTTAAAAGATTGCGGTAGTTTTATCTAGCGGTGACAGTTTCAACTTTTTGCTACAAGCTTGGCAATTTTGTCACCGAGGGCGCCACTGATACTATTCCCAAAAAATTATCAAATATTCATTAGTTCATCAATCACCTATAAATTACATACTTTATTTATTAAATGTGCATTGCTCTGTTATGTGCAACACTTGAATTAAGTTCTCTATAATTACCTAATATAGTAACTAATACATCAAACTCAAGAGTTGTTGATAGCTCAAAGTCTCGGTCTCGGGCCAGTCTCTCGCGGCTAAGCGCGCGCTACTCGGCCGCTGTGATTGGTCGGTGGTTTACGAAATCAAAAACGAAACACCTTGTAAAAGATGTTACGTATCACTAATTTTACCTGTTTTAGTATACAATTAGTAATATATAAAAGATTAACACTGCAATCAAGTGCAACAATCATGTATTAGCAATTGATGTCTAATTGTCTCTGTCGGGGCAATCTTTTATTTTCCAGCTACGAAAACTCACGTGGGTGAAACTCTCGAGTTGACTGGGGTTCTCAGACAGGAGATGGGCACATATCTTTGCATTGCAAGCAACAATGTACCGCCAACAGTCAGCAAACGTTATTCCGTCGATGTCCATTGTACGTATCACTTGTTGCGTAGCTATGGCCGAGTGAGGAACCGTCATCTGATTATATCAAAAGAATTTTCCACACAAAACAGACCACTGGAGAATATTAAATAAGCATTTTCCTAATAGCCAATTGTCGCGTTCACAGGCTGAAAACTACCCTCAAAACCCTTCTACTCAATGAAATACTCTTTTGTATATCCATTTTATTGTATACCTTTTAACTATATTTTTGGCGATAATCAACGTATTGTTATTCTTCTGTAAGACGTTTTTTAATATTTTCTAAAACTATAAACTGTTTCTACAATTTTTCCATCCGTTTCATCCCCTCAGTTTTTGGTAGGGTTATAGAGGTGTTTGCAAATATTTCTACAACGATATAACAACAATTTTCAAGTACACGCTTTGTGCTTTGGATCTCATCTGAATACAGCTCAAATCTTGGACCTAATTTCTACGTCGACGTTTCGCGTAACTATGTTTTACAACTTCGGAATGTTTCATTTTCTCGAGAATATCATCGATAAATAACTTGTTCACCCTGCTAGCGAAAATACATTCCCGCACACCGTTACAGATTCGCCACAGCGAGTTATGGTTGGTCGCGAATGTTTGGAATTTAATTCCTTCTAAAGATAACGTGTCCCTTTGATATGTACATTTATCGATACCAAACTTTCTCCCTTATCATTTGCTGCATTAATGTATGGTTTTCTTCTGGCTGTTCTAGGGGTGTATTTCGCATCACGGAGTGGGTGAATTGGAATTTGTTGACAATATTCTTAACGAAGGTAAACATTTCGACATTCTAAAGAATTAATTAGTGACAAGGGAACTGATGAAAAACTTGGGTTTTACTAAAACAATCCAAAGCACAAAGCAAAGGATTGTTCAACGATTGTTGCATCATTGTACAAACATCCTACGACCTTTGTAATCCCGGCAAACTGAACATTATATATGATAAACTTATGGACTTGTATGTGTCAGACACTTTGAAAATCGTCTTACAGAAGAATGGTAGCAGGTTGACATTGAACATTGGCAAAGCAATTATTTTCAACGTGCTTAATGTAGGGCTAGTAGGAAGGAATAAAAGTTTTGTGCAAATTGGAAGACTGCATTTCTTCCAAGGGTTGCTTTCTCTCCTTGAAACGGCTTAAACCGTCAATTGCAAATAATAAACAAAGTCTATACAACTATGTTTAATATTTTCTTTAACGATAAGTAGTAGAATTTGTCCTCTATCGTCTTCGGAATGAAGTTAACAAGTGTCTTTTTGTTTCAGTTCAACCCGTCATAAAAACGACAAATCAATTGGTGGCTGCTCCACTTGACAGTGACGTTGTTCTGCAGTGTCACGTTGAAGCTTCTCCGCACGCGATGAACACTTGGTACAGAAACACAGGTATAACAAACAGCTCCCTCTCTCGAAAAATCCATTCTTTAAGAGAGAGATCGTTTCCTGATCAAATCTCTCGTTTCTGGTACAGGCGACAAACTGCTGCCCAACGACAAATATGCAATGTCTGAAAGCGCGATTAACGAGTACTCTTGGCAGATGAACCTCACTGTCTATTCCCTGGAGAAGAAGGACTTTGGAGAATACGTTTGCTCATCCGTGAACGCTCTTGGAAAGGCTGACGGAGTTGTCCGTTTGCAAGGTAAATTATTACACGTCACGAATACATAAATATATATATATTTATCTTCGTACATGTATCATTCATTCTCTTCTTTTTAATCCAGAGCTGCACCTCTCTGCAAAAACTACTCCCAGCACTGTTGCCAAGAACACAGACTTCAAGCCCAGGAAGAGTCCAGCGGGCAAAGGTAAGAAGAAGAGCAAAAACATCAACGATAGGCGGACACACGGAGGCGGCTACGACGACTTTGATTCTCCAGGAAACGACGACGACGACCTTGGTACCACGCAAATCATGGCAGGCAGCACCATCCAAGAAGCCCACAGAACGGAAAGACCCCTAGCTTTGCCGTCATTGTCGCCTCCTTGGGTCGCCATAAACGCTGCCAGTACTCGTAGCCAGTACTCGTTATCGTTCGTCACCATTCTCTTTTCATTGGTTTTTCTAACAGTGCTATTTTTTCTTTAAAAATACCCCGATAGTCTGAGATGAAATGGTGGGAGCGATTCAACGCGGTGAAAAACTGTAGGTCTTCCTTTTATTTTTAATTCGACGAGAACGTACTTTTAGATTCGACGAGATGTAGTCACGGCGGTATGACCAATAAGAGATATTTTCTCTTGAAAAGATTTTGTAAATACGTAAGCGGCGATACACGTCAGCTAGGTCCTAGTAACTGCGTGTAAATCAACGAACGATCGCACGAATCTCCGATTATTTTATTATTAAACGTTTTGCCACAAAAGCAACCGTCAGTCGTGCTTTAGTACCTTGTCGACAACCAGTAACGTCGAAATATGTCTCATCGGTACTTGAAGTATCCTTTTCTTTAAATAAGTATTATATGTATACTATACTATATTCGAGAACGTGCGATCATTACTTGTTAAGTACTCTTCTAAATGTAAGTAACGGCTTCGTAATGCAACTAGTACCTCGAGTTTTGCATCATGGAGATGCACAAGTGGCTTAAAAGAATACCGACTGACAATTTTCTTTCGCAAAAGTACAATTGTTTGTTTAGAATATATCGATCAGAAAACGATTATTTTATCAAACACGAGTTATATCCTTTGTAAAAATGATTAAACGAGTAAACTGATGGATGTAATTAAGCTACCGATTAAGTATATGCATACCAATTATGAATTGACCAAATTAATTTCGATTACTTATTAAAAAACTACGATATTGTAGCCAGTACGCAGAATGAAAGACATGACAATAAGTATCAAGTACTTGAGTTCTTTTTATATATATTATTCGTTTAAAGCAAAAATCAAAACAACTCTAGTTTAATCGTTACAAACTATTTAATTATACTAGTATTCGACGATGATCGACAATGATCGATGATTTTCTATCGAAAATATCACGATGTGTACATACGATACATTTATTTCTCTATATCTAAATTATTACTCGTGGATTGCGTAACTTGTGCCCATTAACCCATTGAACCATAAAATTGATCATTGATAAAAGTCAATAAAAAATTTACAAAATAGTATACCGATACATATTTCGTGTATATATATATATATATATCACCGTTACGCACCAAGAATGAATAAACATTAATGGGTTCGTGTACACGAGAGACGAGTCTCAACGAGTTTTTTAAGAGAAAAACTACAGGTCGCTTGATAACATAATTACGTTAAACTGTTAACTGTAAGCAAGCCCACCGAATACCCTTTAATTTTAAGATTACTACGTAAGCATAGCGAATTTATTGGCACTAAGGATAAAATTAAAATACATATACACAGCAACGATACATATGAATCATATAGGACCATGTTTTATGTATGTACATGTATACCTATAAATTACAGAATAACAAGTATATGACGTGTAAATATGAAGTAACGAAGTGAATGTTGACGTTATCGAAGGGACGTTACGGTAAAAAGCAAATTGATATAGCGCACGAATATAATATACGTGTATAATTTAATTGTAATGTTGAACGGGACTACATTTTATACGATTATGGTGTGACAGTAGTCTCAGAATGTAACATATTCAAGCTAAAAAAGACATGTTTAATCACTTGTCGGGTATCTTATCGTAAGGTATGGTTTACGAATAGGTGAATGGAAAGGTTTGCTCGTTCGTTAGACTTCTCGCAACGAAACTCGAGCGTTATTGTATGTATTTATGTTGAGCTGTTAGGCTTTCGGGGATCTGATTGTTCACACGGTACTTGTGAAACTTTGTTATCGTTTACTAAACTTCCTTTAACGATACATAATATTCCAAGAAAGAATCAGATACTTTGATCTTTGGTCTCTCAATAATTGTTACTAATTAAAAAGCTAATCGTTCATAGAAAACTAGACTCATCCGTCTACAATGTTACACAACAATCTTCAAATACATTTCATAAATTCTCTTCAAACATAGCGAATTCTCTTTCATACGCTTAACATACACGATAATCAAGATTCCATGTCTTGAATATTAGAATGTCGTATTCACAAACCCCGACAGCTTCAAACATGCCCTAAATTTAAATACAATCTATAAACTTACGCTTTTAAGACTATTATGCTGTGTCCACGACCGTGTAATAACAAATTCCAAAGCGAATGTTTAAAATGTTATGCACTTGAGCATATAATTTCGAAATTAAACTCACATGTTCTATCCTTTTGCGCTTCTGAGTTTCATAGTTGTTGCTAGTACCTATTGGTGGTTCAATTTTCCTGCATTATAAAATGTAACCGATAATTTCAAGTAAAGTTACGCACAGCAATAATAGTAATCTAATTGTGTCTCTGTCGTTATTCGATACACATATACATATACGTATGAAATATATTTTTGTGTATATTTTATATGTACGTATATATATATGTATGTATGTATGTATGTATGTATGTGTATACATATATATAAAAAAATTGTGAATAACTTGCCTTTGACAGAATAAAACAATAGAGTAACGATTAACATACAATTCAAAAATATTGGAATTAACTATTGAATGAATTGCGGTAGAGAACGAGCATGGTGTTCGGTACTATTAACTTCAGACAATAAACTGTTATTATCGATGTTACCTGATCAACTGTATTTATTGAGCGTCTATACCTTCCGTTTAATTTACGAATAAAGTACTCAAACTGCTTAAAACTTATCTCATAAAGGGAATCAATGTTAAATCAATTATGTTTATATTATATAGCACCTCAGATATCTTTCAAACTATAGGTTTCGCAGAAATAATTGGACAGTACGAGGGGGGTTATCCGGTGACGATAATAGTTCTTTTGCAGGTGGAAGTAATTCGAACATTTTAAAGTCTCCTCTTAGGTAGGAATTAGAGTATCTTAAAACGAGTTCAACGACCTATTACGTAAGATCATAGAAAGTAGAGAAAGGGGATAATACTTTTGGTTTTGGTAGTAAAATAATAGTAAAAAGTGTGTGCGTGTGTGCGTATATATACATATATATATATATGTAATCACCTATACTTTATTAATCAAAGTTCATGACTGATTGAATTCGTTTAACAGATTTTTTCCGCTGCAAATTGTCTTGTTTCTCCTTTTCAAGATCTTGCTTTAACTTCTCTACGTGGCTTGAGTAATCGATCGTACTTGCAACAGACTCCAAATCTAATTTCTCGATACTTGGCACAGCTTTGTGAGCATTAGTCAGCATATGTTTAAATATCCCGACTTGCTTAGGTGTGAGGATAGAGATCGCTGTGCCAGGTTTACCCGCGCGACCTGTTCTTCCTGCTCTGTGAATGTAGCCTTTGATATGCTTGGGAAGATCGTAGGATATGACTAGCTGAATGTCCAGAATGTCGACACCTCTTGCCAATGCATCGGAGCTCACGAGACTGCAAATAGAAATACAATGCAACAAAGTTTCCAAGATACATTGAAAGTATCGTATTAATGTACAGTAATAGATGGAACGTACATTTGAATCTCTCCAGCAGCGAACCTTCCAAGCATACCTTCCCGTTGCTTTGGCATAAGCTGCGCGGAAAGCTCTCCAACTGTTACATTCTGATCAGATAAAAACGATCCCAACAAGAGAGTCAATCTATGGGCAGACTCTCCGGAATTTGTGAAAATTAATGTCTTGAAAGGCATATTATTCCTAACTAGCATCTGGTACGCAGCAACTGGTTTGTACTCCATCGTGCATTCTACTGCAAGTTCTGTTAATTCTTCAGGGCTTGTATAACGACCTATAAAGTCGCCTACTTCCTTGTCCAAGTTCACATCGCCGTCTTTGTCAGAGATCGGGACAGACGTAAATAATATTGGTTTGAAGAGACCAAGGTGATTCAACTTTTCCGGATCTTGAGATAGGGTCGCGCTAAACAAAAGTTTCTGTACGGGAATTTTACTGTTGGAAATTGAAAATAATTATGAAACAAATTACATACAGCAGTGTTTTTAAACAGAAATAGAAACTACCTGTGACGCATATTGAAGAGTGTCAGTTGTGGAGGATAACGATGCTGTTTAGGAAGATGTTCCAACCAATCGGCAGCTCTATCAGCTTCGTCGATAACGAGAAATCTAAGATCATCTAAAGAAAACCCTGGTGTTTTTAAAATGTGGTCCACTAGACGTCCTGGTGTAGCAACAATTATATCTACCATGGATATATACGTCTCTCTAATGGCTTAAAAACAGAGAAAACTTATATAATTTATCTAAAATACAAGTAGCGCGTTAATGCCAAGACACATACTCTTTTTGAGAATGTTATTTTGCTCTTGCTCGATCGAAGATGCACCAGAAAGTAGACCAACTTTAAGGCTTGTGTGAGATGTATACATAGTCATCACCTTATAAACTTGCGCAGCCAATTCTTGCGCGGGTACAACAACTAAACAACGAATCTTTGGTACCAATCGAGACTGTAATATTTGTACAATTGGTAGAACATACGCCAAAGTTTTGCCTGAAACAGATAATAAAATTAGAAATATAGTTTGGCACTCTCAAAATATGTCAATTCTGATTAATCATTCGTACCACTGCCAGTGGGAGCAGATACACAAGTATCGCGTACCCACCATCCTTGCTGTCTGTCTTTATCGCATTTCAATAACCATGGTATCATGCTTGCTTGAACAGGAAATAATTTATCGATGCCATTGGTTTTCATTACTTTGATCATTTTAAGACCTAAGATTGAATGGAATTCTTCCAAGCTTGGACCACTGTTCAGATCGATTGATATAATTTCTGGACTCATCAACCATTCTGGCAGTACTCTCTTCACTTCTCGTTTTTTCCTTTTAGTTTTGCTACCCAGGACCACAAAGTCTTTAGTTTGTTTTGATATTTGTACATTTTTGGAATCTATCAATCTATTAGATACATCATTTTCATGATTGTCCACAGTTTCATTTTGAAAACTTTTACTTTCATCAAATTCTATATCTTTTTTCCTTCTTTTCTTCTTCTTATGGGATCTCTGCTGATCTACTTGTAGCTCAATGTTATCTTCTACTGTAGTTTTATTAATATCTTGCTCCAAACTTTCATCAATCTTTTCTTTCTTACGTTTCCTTTTCTTCTGTTCAGGCTCCTCTACATCTTTAGACAAATTCTCAGCTGCCTTCTCCCGTTTGCGCTCCTCTATCTTTTTTAACAATTCAGACAAATGTTTCTTTTCATCTTTTACTTCTACCTCTTTTTCACCCTCGTATCTGTTAATAAATAATACGTATTAAAAGACAGACTATTCGTGTGTGTATATATACAATGTGACTAGAAAAGTCACAATCTCTATTATATTTACCTGTTTATTACAAATAAACTCATTTGTTGTGACAGTAATCGCCCACGTGTCACAGAAACTTTATAGGTTATGTATATATGTATACACGTGTAAAAAACAGAGTATTATGTGTAAATGTATATTTACATATGTAAAATAAAAACGTAGTTATCGCGTACACATGGAAAAGTTTAAGAGTACTCTGTATAAATGAATTGTTCTAGAAATTTTATTTAATTTTACCTATTCCTTTATTTTTTATATTTCTGGAAGCATCACTACTGACCAAAAGTTTACGAACCGAACAAGTTTTAACCTTTAAAAATTCAATGTTTTTTGTATTATACCACAATTCAAATGTCATGAATTTACCCGTCAATACATCATATTTCCTTTCTAATACATTCAATTCTTAATCCATGTTCATTTCTTCTTATCAACGTCAATTTATCTCCTATAAGCGTTGCAGGATGATTGATTATAAATGCCGGAAAGGGACATATCCGGTATATAAGGTGTTTGCTTTCGCCTTTCGTATGTCAGAGGCAAAGCATTAGGTATTTTATATGCAACGAAACTCGTTGGATATTTAGAAAAGTATGACAATGTCATTCCTGGTGCACACTGGTATTTATAATGATCAGGCTTGAAGAATTCCAAAGGATGAAGACTGCCAGTGTGGTCCATGTATTGTTTACGATGCAATTGAACTCCCTATTAACAATGCTCAATTTGAAGAAATGAACAAGTTTAACGTTAGCCTAATATAATAAACTTATACAGAAACAAAGTCATATACTCTTTCTAAACAGAGCAGAGATCAAGTGCTAAAATCTTTATTACTTTGTATAAATTGTCGATTTCTTTCATGCGTGCTGCGTCGATTCTTGAAATGTCATTCAATGGAACTGTTAAGTTGCGATTAAGGCTACGGTGAATTTTAGTTGCAGCAATATTAGGCCTTGGACTGTACGGTACACTTTCCATTCCCCATTTGTAAATTGGCATCTTTAAAAATTGTTAATCAATTAATGTCTCGTTACATTACGCGTAAATTCTTGAGCTTTGTACATTTTATTAACTACCAATAGTTAACATCAAGTCAAAAAGAAACTTTACCGAAATCTTCGATAGGACTCGGTTTCTGTAATTTTGGAAGTAATTAGTAGCTCCACCATCCTCCAAAGAGCGATCGAACTTGGATGGAGGATGTGGACCCATGTAGGACGGCATCAACGAGGGTGGATAAAATGTGGGTTGAGATTTTGAAGAATTTGAGTTACCCACAACCATTTTTAGCTTCACACTTTGCACACTAAATCAAGGGAATGCTTATTGTCTACAGGTTATTTGTTACTTTGAATTTTCATAAATAAAAACAAATGAGTTAGAACTTGGTTTTCAATTTCCTGAAATAACTGCAAACCATAGTCAATGTCAATTTTACACGAGGAACTAAACTTGCATAACCATCAAGGATTAGTTTAGGATCATGATTAAATATTTCCAAAATTGCCGATAAAAACGCAAAACTATCACTGGTATTCCTGTTATTTATTTTTGTTGTAATCAGTATGAATATTTAAAAAAGAATACATGTATATAAGAATAAATTTCTTAGTTATATCATATAAATTATAAAAACAATGAAACTTGAGTGAAAAACAGTTAAGAAATACGGATGCTGCTTCTTCCAATTACTGTTAACATTCCATTATCTTGTAACTCTCTCAAAGCATCCTCAAACATGTCCCTAGTGATCATCTATTCAAAAAATATTAAGATTAAATTAGTATTATTGGTACGAAAAAAGAATTAGATATGCAATTTCACTAACCAATTCAGAAGATTGTCTAATTTCACTAAACAATTTCTGTTGACTAATTATATGACCCTTCTTCTTGTTTTCAATAAGTTTCTGTATCGAGTCACACAACTCCTTCTTTTTCTTCCTCGCTATCGAAGATATACCAGTAGTCAAAATAGTTATATCTATCTTGCCACTCAGAGGATCAATAGCAGATTGTTTCAAGGCCTCTCGGTGCAATCTGTTAAAAGAAACATTTGAAGAGAATCTGTATATTAATATTATAATAATATTTTATCGCGAACCTCCAAGCTTCTTCGACGTCCTGCAACTCCACGGTAGGACTCAGTCTAACTTTAGCGTGTGCCTCAGCCAATCTTATCAGAGATTCCAATTGCCTAGGGTACGCTGTTATTTGTCCACGTCCTCTTCCAACTCTTCTCATATCGACGTAAGCTTGTATCAGTCTCTGTTGACTTTCCTCGTTGAGAACAGGTTGAATGTGTTCCTTTGCGAAAATTAGATAATCGCGAACGATGCCTTTGTTCAGTTGCACATCCTCATCTTCTTCTGATACTTTGTAATATAAGGCTACCATGTGAGAGGCAAGTTTGCTGTCGTACGAATCACTTTGCGGATCTAACATTAAAAATATTAAGTCAAATCGAGAGAGCAAGGTGTGGGGCAGCTTTACGTTTTCAATCACCTGAAAAACGATATAATATATTGTATAGAAACGTTAATAGAAGCTAGTGGTAAAGTTAATTTGTTGATATAAAGTACAGTTCTGTTTTTATTCCACTGTGACTCGCATGGATTAGCAGCAGCGAGTATGCTGGTCCTAGCATTCAACTGACAAATAATTCCAGCTTTGGCGATGCTTAATGTTTGCTGTTCCATCACTTCGTGCAATACCGATCTTGCGCTTTCGTTCATTTTATCAAACTCGTCGATGCAACATATTCCATTGTCTGCGAGTCCTAATGCTCCTGTCTGCAGTATCAATTGTCTGGTTTCTGGATCTTTTGTTACGTAAGCTGTTAGACCAACAGCGCTGGAGCCTACAATATTTAAACATTAATTAATTAAAAGCTTTTAATCGAAACTATTTCTGCTTCTTCACCTTTTCCACTAGTGTATTGCGATCGTGGCACCAAATTATAAACATACTGTAACAATTGCGATTTACTAGTGCCAGGGTCACCGCAAAGTAATATATTTATATCAGGTCGAAAGTGTTTTCCATATACGGTCGAAGACTTTCTAGTTCCACCAAATAATTGCAAAACAATTCCCTTCTTCACATCAGTGTTTGCATAAATACTGGGAGCTACATGTTGCGCTAATCGATCGTAAATATCTTCTTTCTGCGATAACATTTTCAATATTTCAATTCTTTCTGGTGTGAAATTGTGTTCTTTGCCATCTTCATGCCCGTGCAACCTATCAAATATTACAAATAAATAATCAAGCTAAAAATCTCGAAGATTATTCAATCATTTTTTTTCTCACCGTTTTGAGTCATATTTTCTAAAATGAACCACGTCGATGTATGTTCTGTATATGGCATGTAAAGTATGCTCAAAATTAGGCTTATGCGCGGCTGCTCTGTAAATTCCAGTGACGGAGACCCTATCTCCAGGCATGACTGCATCTACTAGATTACTATGGGCGAATAAAACTATAGTATGCGGAGTTTGTCCTTGTGGCATTTCATCAGGGGCTTCTTGTAACTTGATCATTTGTTTATCAGAGAAATGACTTAGATTGTGCACCAAAGTGAAAGAATATTTGTGTGTACAATGTGCGCACACGGTAGGCTCCTTTGTCCTTCCCTTCTCGATCTCAACAAGAGTTGTGAAAGCACAGACGGTACATTTGAAAAAAGCCTCTCGCATTTGTGGAATTAATCTCGATACTCTGATCACCATTCCTGGTACTGTGATCAATTGATCGACATCGCAAGGATTCAATTCCCTCATGGTTTTGAGCTTGGCTACATTAAAGGGACGCACTTGAATCTGATGTTCTAAAACTGCTGCTGGATATTTTTCAAAGAATAACTCGTTTGCTGCCATATCTAGAGTCGGTATCACTTCTTGAGGATAAGAGACTAGTTGTTGATAGAGGTGCTCGTCGTAAGTTTTCACGTGTGCACAGTTGACATTCAGATATGGTTCTTCCAAGGTATGTATCTCCTCCAATTTCTGGAGGTACAATGGTTCAGATAAATTTATGTTTTCAGATAATTCGTCATTCTCTGCCTCTGGGTCGATGAATCTTTCGAAAAACGATTTGAATTGTTCCTTGCATTGACTTATAAGTACATTTGTGCCCCATACAACCAAGTGTGGCCCTGCTGCTTCGCTCTCCGATGTTCCTGGAGCTCTGTGTACCTCTGGAATCTAATAATAATAAAAGCAGTTACTACTATAAAGCAGTGAAATGTTATTACAGATTTACTTACTGGTTCTTGTAGCGTAACTTGACGCAGACGTCTGTCGGTGTTAATATCAGGTCTGTGTCTAATCGGAGTGCCTCTGATTCCACTTCTCGGAGTACGAATAGAACCTAAGGAACTGGGAGTACCATAATTGACAGGAGAAGACAATTGCAAGCCACTTTCTGATCCAATCATTTGCCCAGAACTTGGAGAATGACCTCCTGCGCTGTCGCGCTCAGAAGAAGCGAGAATAGTGGCAACCTGGTTTGCAGGATCCAGAGCATTTTGTCGTGCGCCACTGACACCCCATCGCAGTGGTGTTTCCACATTATTGTCCACCCCATTACGACTAGCAGTACCTTATGAAAAAAGAGTAATTCTTCTTGTAATAGTAATCCAAAATAAAATAGTCACTAAATAAAATACTCACGTGGTGTACCAAAAGCAGGAGATCTTGTTCCTTGTGTTTGACGACGAGGAGTTGTACGTGGACTATCATCTGTCGCAGGCGATCGTGCAGGAGATCTTCCCTGTAATTGACGTCGAGGAGTTGTACGAGGACTATCAGCAGGTGATCGTGCTGGGCTCGACATGATTTCTCTTATTTTTTCAAACTCGTAACAACAATGTCCATGAAAAGCGTGGGAAAATTATTTTCCCGCGCTTATTCTCTACAGCATGGGTGCATACACAATACACAAAGCACTGATACGCACTGTTCATTACCGTTCCGTTGGCAGCAGCGTGACGTCCACATGTGTATAGACTTTATTTATCCTAACCTATTTGTGCACGTGGTACCATGCAAGTATTATATATAAGCTTTTGATTTTTATATTTCCAACAGGCACAAAAATGTTGATCGAACCGAAATTAACAAATACATCGAAAAACTTTGGCAAACCGCCTGACAAACAAAATTCTGTAAGTGTCAACTTCTTTTTATTCTATAAAAATGTGAAATTAAATTAAATTATTATGTACACTTTAGTTGCTGCAAAATCTGGGCGCTCCACATATAGATTCCTTCAATTACATGTTAGAAGATGGCCTCTCAGAGGCTGTCCAGGACAACCCACACGTTTATGTACACCTCTTAAACGGAGACAAAGTTGCTCTGTGGGTCGACGACGTTTCGATTCATCAGCCAACCGTTCCAAGTGGTACAATTGGAGTGAAGAATCATAAGATTTACCCTACAGAATGTAGACAGCGAGGATGTACTTACAAAGGAAAGATAACTGCCAAGTTAGGTTGGTCCATCAATGGCAAGGTGCAAGAAATTCTTGAGAGAGATTTAGGAGAAATTCCAATTATGATTAAGGTATGTAATACTGTCTTGTATCATTTATATTCAATTCATATTATTGCTATATTTTTATTTATCTAATTCACACTTGGTATTATAGTCCAATCGATGCCATTTGAATAAAATGACTCCGAAAGAATTGGTCCATCATGGAGAACACGAACAGGAGTGGGGTGGATACTTTATAGTCAAAGGACTCGAGAGAATGATAAGAATGTTGTTGATGACAAGGAGAAATTATCCCATTGCCATCAGAAGATCGGGGTGGAAAGCTCGTGGCATGCAGTTTAGCGATCTGGGGTTACTTTTAAGGAGTGTACGTGATGATAACACTGCAGCCGTACGTATTTCACTTGTTAGCAAAACATTTGTAGTCTATGTCTTTATTTGTAGAAGAATATTGTATCTCATTAACACGTTCACACCGGCGTGCACCATCAGGCGGCGCGTATCACCGGTGGTACATACTTGAATGTTCAAAAACGCCATACGGTTGAAAATTTAACGTATATTAATTGAAAAAAAGTAGGAGTTACTTTATTTGATCCGAGTATTATAAATATAATTAAAAATAATATTATAAACGTAAATAACAAAAATTCGGTTGTAAAAAGATAATTGAATATTATAATTCTAACTTATCATTTACCTTTTCTATGTATTCTTTTAAAACATGTCAAACAGAGAGCTGGCTGGCCCTTACAACTATTGCAATAAGTCGTCACTCTCTTTGCCTTACTCATGGCATAATCTCTACCCTTTGTTTCGCATAACCATTTATAACATTGCCTACATCTTTTTCTTGACTTTCTCGCAGGCTCTTTACACGATTCGAGAAAATGTGAAACTTTATTCGAAACTGCTGGTTTTTCGATATTTATTTTTTCAATGTCGCGAACATTGGTTAACAAATGATCGATAATTTGTTCCCTAAATTGTAAAATATTAATGTACTTGGTACCCCATCTTTGATTTATATACCATCCATTGGCTAGGCATGTCCCGCATATTAATTGTATTATAATTTTTTGGTACCACTTGACTGTTTTCCGCAAACAACTATAGTAAGATGACAATTGATCGTATAAATTAATAATCTTTCTTTCGTTATCATAGAAAAAATTTTTCTCCACGATACTTCTAATTTTATGCAATCGATCTTCTGTTTCAGCTGTTGTGTCGTCCGAAAAATGTAAATGTTTCAATATAGATAAAAATCGATCACGTTTCATACTATTTTTTATGCATGTGTTCATATACATGGTCTTTTTAGACCAGTGTAGTCTAATTTCTGGTAGTTGCACAACACCCATGATTAGCAATATACCAATAAACGTATTAATTTCGCCTCTTGTAACGGGTTGCCAAGCCTGTTGGTGTCTTCTCCTGCTCGATAAAGAATTCATACATTGTTCTGCATATTTGTTTGTTTCTTCGACTATTATTCCTGCTATGTAGTCGGTGAAGAAAACTTTGAATAGAGCAAAAGGATCGTTGCAATCAACGTTTTCGATTAGAAGTTTCTCTTCTTCCGAATACTCATTTGCTATCGAACGTCTTTTTCTTATTCTCTGCCATTGCGTATCTTCTTCGTCCTCCTCTGACGACGAGTCAGAGTCGGAATCTTCTTCCTTTATGATAGACTCGTACTCTTGGTTAACTAGTGGATCGTTCTGCGCGTGAACAAAATCCTTGTCCGAAGATGTTGAGAGTACCCTTGGTCTTTCATCTTTCGTACTTCTCGTTATTGATTCGCCAGATGAAATACTTTTTTCTATATCCATTGTTACCTACTTTTTTTAAATGGACATGTAAAATTAGAAAGAAAAAATGCCAACCACCTTTCTGGTTACGCTTATTGTACAAATATTTGGTTACTATGCACAAACGGCACGAGTTTTGTTTACCTTTCAACACGAAGTTGTAACAGCGAATAGGTTATTGCAGAAGCCTAGCGGAGCTCGAAAAATGTCACTCGAGGGTTTAGTATGAACCCTCTTTATGAATATATATATTATATAATAATTGAACAATTAACTGGAAACACGTGAAATACAATTGGTTTTGACGTTCTAACAGTAACAAAGTGTTGTCTCTGACAACACTTTGCATTCATAGTTTTTTCAATAATCCACATTCATTCACTCACAGGGATATTACTAGTCGGGACGATCTACTTCGATATCGGCATCCAATCATTAAAAAATAACAAAGTTTATTTACTAATAACAAATAAAGGTTTGCTCCAGTTTGAAAATACATGGTCAATATATCAAGTAGTATATATATAGTAAGTAAGTCAGAGGAAATCATCGCCGTCAGATGGAGTAAAGCATGAATGCGCACGCCGTCCCATGGCGGGGAACATAAAAAAACAGCGCCGGCGCGTAATGGGTGATTTGACCCGAGAACGCGGACAAAAATGATGAAAAATAAAAAAAATAATTTTCATATCAGACCGAAAAACCGAAAGACCGAAATTTCATAGAAATCTAATAACTTTTTGGCATACGAGTCGATCGTATTGCATCCGTCATTTTGATTTTTTAAATTTTGATTTCAGATTCGTAAATGGCGCACCGAAAAACCTCGGCATACGAAATTTCATAAAAATCAGAACATTTCGTTATTTAATTTGTTCGGGTTTTCGGATCAACAACACCCACTGTACGGCGTGAACGTGTTAAACATATTATTCACGACCATTCTGAACCTGCGTATTTCCTAGGACATACTGTTAATGTTATACTGTTATTATTCTTTATCATGAAACTATATGTTTTACAGAGCAATACTTTACACTATGTAACCGATGGTTCGGCAAAGTTAATGTTTACATACAAGAAAATTTTATACTATGTCCCATTGATATTAATGCTAAAGTGCCTGGTCGATGTCTCCGACATTTTCATCTACAATGCATTAATAGCTGGCTGTGAAGACGATTTGTATTACAAAGGTTGTATCCTAAATATGTTACGAGCGATACATCAGCAAGATCTACACAGTCACGAAGAATGCAAAGCTTACATAGGAAGGATGTTTAGAATAAAGTTTTACGAACTACCTCAAGATGCTACGGATATAGAAGTTTGCGATTTCATTATTAAGTGAGTCTGATAAACACGTTACTTATGCGTCTTTAAATAACAAAATATTGCTTTCTATGATTATTGTACATTACTTTCAGACACTGCATAGCCATTCATCTCAACAGACCACTGGATAAATTTTATTTACTCGTTTTCATGACGAAAAAGCTATTCGCTCTCGCAAATAATAAATGCGCAGTCGAAGGAGCCGACGCTGTGATGATGCAGGAATGCCTACTCGGTGGCCACTTGTATTTACAAGTACTAAAAGAGAAGCTGTACTCTTGGCTGACTGGTCTCAGAGCAGGCATCTTAAAACGCGCGAGAAGCGCTGGTAACAGATACATTTTGAGTGTGCGTAAGTATTCGCAAATCCAACTCACAGATGTTTTATATGTTTGATGTAAATAAAACTGTTTTATTTACGGATCAATACAGAGGAAATACTGAACGTAATAAAACATGGAAACTCGCTTGAATCGCAGATGGAAAATTTCTTGTCCACTGGAAGCATAAGGTCGCCGACAGGTTTAGGGTTGATGCAGAATACAGGTCTTACTATTGTCGCTGAAAATATTAACAGAATGCGTTATATGAGCCATTTTCGCGCGATACACAGGGGTTCCTTCTTCCAAGAGATGAGGACCACGGAAGCTAGACAATTGCTGCCAGATGCATGGGGTAACACTTGGTTACAATGCCTTGAAAACTCTCAACAAGATTAATTTGGAAGATAATTTATTAATTGTTCAATTACAGGCTTTATCTGCCCTGTCCATACACCCGACGGTGCACCCTGTGGTCTTCTCAACCATTTAACCATGAATTGCATAATTACAAAGCATCCAGACCCAAAGTTCAAGTCCAACATCCCTATTGTATTGATGGACCTTGGAATGATTCCACTATCGATTGCTGACAATTGGAGGGACTCCTATGTCATACTGTTAGACGGAACGTTGATTGGGTTAATCGACGACAGTATAGTTTCCAGAGTGACCGATAAATTGAGATTACTTAAAATAAAAGGGGAAGAGGTGACGATTACAAATTTCTTCACCTGTCTAATTAGTTTAGATCACCTTATCTTTAACTTGATTAACTTTTATTTTTGTTTGTAGGTTCCAAACACGATGGAGATAGCACTGGTGCCCAAGAAGAACGTACCAGCTCAATATCCAGGATTGTATTTATTCACAAGTCCAGCTCGCATGATGAGGCCAGTGATGAATCTGGCTGCTAAAAGGATCGAATACATAGGAACGTTCGAACAAATTTATTTGGAAATCTGCGTGACGCCCGAAGAAGCCTACGAAGGAGTAATAAACACCATTTCCATAAACCTGCACAACTCTATATAAATCTCGAGATTTTCATTTGATTTACCATTGCAGCTGACGTCGCACCAAGAATTGTCAAAGACAGCTTTCTTAAGCAATCTGGCAAGTCTCATACCAATGCCAGACTGCAATCAGAGTCCGCGAAACATGTATCAGTGTCAAGTAAGATTACAATTTCCTTTCTTCGTTTAACACTGTAGCTGTTTAATTATACTATTTAATTATCTTCCAGATGGGCAAGCAAACGATGGGTACTCCGTGCCACACGTGGCAACTGCAGTCTGAAACTAAATTGTACAGGTTGCAAACACCCTCGACACCATTTTTTCGACCTGTGCATCACGATAAAATTAATCTCGATGATTTCGCTATGGGTACCAATGCAATAGTCGCAGTCATCTCTTACACAGTGAGCAAACAACAAATATTATTATTGTACACTGGTACAAAGAAAGGTTTCAGTTGGATTTTAATTTTCTTTTATAGGGATACGATATGGAGGACGCGATGATTATAAACAAAGCAGCTTACGATAGAGGTTTCGCGCATGGGATGATTTACAAATCCGAATTTGTGGATCTGAAAGATCAAAAGAGTTACTTTTCACGGAATCCAGATAAACCTGAGCTTGCCGAAAAATTGGATGCCGATGGCCTTCCTATAATAGGCACTACTATCAAGGAAGGCGACGTCTATTATTGGTAAATCATTTATTAAGTACACCTGACGTTTTTTCTAACTTTAATTTTATTCGATATATTAATATTTGGACAGTTACTATGACGCTGACCAGTCGACATACGTTAATGGTAAATATCACGGGAAAGAAGACGCTTATATCGACACCGTAAAGCTCTGTGGAACCTTGCACAACGATATTCCACGCAGAGCTTGCATTACCTTTCGCATTTCAGTTAGTAAAACATACTTTTGTATTCCAGTCAATGCCAATCTATATCAACGCCTATCTATTGTACGTTACTAATTATGTAATTATTTTACAATGTAGCGTAACCCGAGCGTTGGCGATAAATTCGCTTCGAGAGCAGGTCAGAAAGGCATCTGTTCGCAAAAGTGGCCCGCAGAGGATCTACCATTCACGGAAACTGGCTTGATTCCAGACATTGTATTCAATCCCCATGGCTTTCCAAGTCGTATGACGATAGGTGAAACTAATTTCCTTTTAAAATACATATTTCCATCGTCGTACAAATATTCAAACTATAATTTATCTATATAATCGAACATTGTTAGCCATGATGATCGAGGTGATGGCTGGAAAATCAGCAGCCATACATGGACTGGTGCACGACGCAACGTCCTTCCGATTCAACGAGGAGGAAACTGCCGTTGAATATTTTGGAAAGCTTCTGGAACGCGGTGGTTACAATCATTACGGAACAGAGAGAATGTATTCGGGGATAGACGGAAGGGAAATGACTGCTGACATTTTCTTTGGGATTGTACATTATCAACGATTGAGACACATGGTCTCGGATAAGTGGCAGGTCAGGAGCACTGGACCGATCGATATTTTAACGAGGCAGCCCATAAAAGGCAGACGCAGAGGTGGTGGTGTACGATTTGGAGAGATGGAACGAGATTCCTTGATAGCTCACGGCTGCTCTTTTCTTCTTCAAGACCGTCTTTTTCACTGTTCGGACAAGACTACGGTTCGTTTCATTTTTCTATGCTTTCTCGAGCGTTAACGCTAGGTTTACCGTTAATAAGAGACTTGATAATTATATTAATATCAATATTAATGTTTTAGACTTCGGTGTGCCAAAAATGTGGAACATTGCTGGGTCCAGTGATGGAGGTGTCTTTAAACGCGCCGAGATTAGGCGACAGAACGAGATGTCGTCTTTGCGGAGACGACAAATCCGTAAGGGAAGTGGATATACCGTATATTTTTCGATATCTCGTGACACAATTAACGTCCTGCAACATCAACGTAAAATTGTCATTCGCGGAGAAATAAAATCATAAATCACGGAAATAAAACAATACTTGTACACTTTTATACTATCATCTAGTAATAATAATACTTTATTTTTTTATAACATTCCATTAAACATTTTAATTACAAATTCCATTAACAATACTCTATAAAGACGCTCATTATAGAGACGACGACGCTGTATAACGATTATATGTACACTTTACGATCTGTACTTTAAAAATCACGAATTCATTCGAATACATTTTGTTTAACTACGCGTAATCACATCGAGATAGAAAGGAATGTCTCCTTATTCCAATGTGATCTTTAGTTTGAAAAAGACAAGTTGCGGTACCAATTTTTACGCACGATAATGATAGAATATTTAATAATATAATGCACGAAGAAAATCAAATGTACAGATTCCAAGCGAAACTTACAATTGAAAAGCTTTTCACGCGTTCGTCTAAGCCTTTGCCGGGACTTGCGTAACTGGCTTGCTCCCTGGAGCACCCGACGTTCCAGTCTGTTCTTTCTCCAATTGTTTTCCTAAATATTCCCTGCAAAGCAAATCCCTCGTTATTTAAAGATAAACAACAATAATTTCACTCGATACACGTTCAAATCTCATACCAATTGTGAACCATGAGTTTCTGAACCGCGAGAAGAGCCTCGTATCTCACATTAGGATCTTCGTGGCCCAAAAGTTGCATCACTCGTTGCTTACCTCCAAGCTGCTCGATTATACTAAAACGATTTCAAAGGTGACGCGAAGGTTACCATCCAGCAAGTACCAATTCATAAAAGCAACCATGCAGTGAAGAAATTTAACGTACTGTTTACCGCGTGGATAGTGCCTTACATATTCTCCCACATCAAAGCTAGCCACGCTAAGTACAAGGGGATCCTTGCTAGTCTCTAGCA